TTTCTCTTTTTCATTAAAGTTTTTATTTTTTGTAAGAATGTATTAATGTGTTTTTTTTTGTTTGTTTGTTTTAATGTCTTATGTGTGCATACTAAGCTGGAAGTTGGCAAACAATTTCACTGTAGTTTCATAATGACTAAAAGATGCCTGTAGCTCATAATGATTGTCTGTTCTGTATTAACAGCTGATGGAGGAAGGCAGAGAGTACTGGTAGCAGAGGAGGTGGCATTCTGGGAGGATGGCAGCTATGAGGCGGTGTCAGAATGGACCCCAAGTTCCTCCAACCAGGAGCTCATCAGGACTACATTACAGGAAGAGACGTTAGGTCTACAAGACAGGAAGAGATGTAAGGTCTATGCTACAGGAGAGATGTTGGGCCTGTCCTGAACGCAGCATAATGTTTGATCATGTTTGGACAAAAAAACACTGCCAGATGGTCCAGAAATGGACAAGCATTTATGTCTTATTTTGTGTGCAAACAGTAAAAAAATAAAATGAAATAAAGAAAACAAAACCTTCTGTCTCTTTTATGTTCCTCATATATGAACATGTTGCATATAAGCAATATCAAATGCTTATACAATACAGCATTTATTTTTATATAGATTTTTTTAAAATACAGCATTAAAAATATTAATGATTGGGGTGGGGTTTATTTATAAAGTCATAAGAGCTGTCCAATGGGCACACATCAACCAACCAATCACATGTCAATGATGAACTGTGATGTCATTGTTTTTCATCCAATGACTGAGAATCCACGTGGGTCTGCTGAAGTGCCTTTGCATATGCTAGTGTAACACTCACTATGGGATTACAGTGCTAGACTCAGAACAGGACCAGTGCTAGGTTCAGCTACAGAAGTAGGGAGAAGTGCAAGTGTATCAATGACCACAGACCAGGAAATAAGTTTAAACTGCCGGCTTATTATTTTTGTAGAAAAGAAAATAATTATACAAACAGTTTACATACAATGACACAAATTCAATACAAAATAGTTTCCCTGTTTCTTTCCAAGTGTTTTATTTTATATAATCCCTTTTTTGAAATTTAACCATATCGTTAGGTATTAAAGGATACTATTTATTTAAACCTAGGTTATAGTTCTATTTAAGTTCAAGTGATGCTGTTAATCTATTTAATTTACAGTTTGTTTTAATCTTTTAAATCTATTTTAGTTTAGTGTTCTTTTAAGAAGTTCAAATTTTTTAATTTCCTGTTTAACCATTTCTTATTTATATTTTAAGTCCAACAATTTCACATTCCACACACTGTAACAACAGACATTGAATGTGGTTCAAAGGAAAACACCAATAAAACACGACACAATCCAGCAAAAGACCGAATAACTTGTGCTTCAAATCAATGTCTTTTCTCTCTGATGATCCTGAAGGGTTAATCCCGTTTCTCTGAATCCACTGCTATTTCAGCAGGAAACATGGACAGGTCATACCAGTTTGGATGATTTGCAGTATCCAGCAGAGGGCGTAGCTCCTGCTAGACGGTTACAGGGCTCCTGGGTTTGTTTCTCACTAGCGGAATCCAACTCAGCAATCGACTCGGAATTTCCCGGTCCAATTTCCAGCAGAACCTCAAAAAGGCCTGGTTTAATAACCAACAAAGCATAACAAAAGTTCATTTAACTCTGCTTGGTACTGAATAGAGTAGTATACTCGCAGATTTGGCGGTTGAACATCGTGTGTGGGTGGGGGGAACATGCTTTCACCCACCTCAGCTCATCCATTACTTCCACAGTTTTTGAACATAAAATTACATAAATGCACCACTTTACCTTTCTGTTTCAACGAAATAAAGTACTTTACAAATACGTTCTCAGAAAATAAAATACACTTTTTAACTCACCAAGTCCAGTTCTGTAACACATAACACAATCCCGAACGCAGTCAGATTGAAAAATTCAGAACGCTCCTTCTCCAAAAAAATTGAAAAAATGTTTATAATCGTCGATTTATCTCATCTTTTTCTCATTCACAGCACAACTCTCTTAGATTCTTTGTTCTTTGCTTCTTCTTCGCGCTCTGCTTCTTCTTCTGGCACCAGAGAACATAGCAATCCGGTTGGCTGGAGCGAGTCACATGGGCTACACATCAATGTGACCCTTCAGAATCAGAGATTTATCGCACACTTTACCGTTTTAGATGCTGACAAAATAAAACTTTTATACAGATTTTTAACCAAATAAAATATTATAATATGAAATACAACACGTCTGTAATTATTAGTTTTTATATTTTTAACTGTTTTAAAACCTATTTATTCTGCTATTTATTTATTTATTTATTTATGTCCTATTTATCTATTTTATAGCTATTTTTATGAAAAGGCTTACATTTAAGGAGGATTATGTTAACCTGGGTTACACTAGGCTATTCCTATGCTAAGTAGAGTCGTCAACACCTCCCGCTCCCCCGCACCGCCACTCCCCCCCTCCAAGGATTCCGCATTTGACAGAATTCGACTCCCGTGAGTGAAAACATAGATTGCTGTCGATATCTGTCGCTGACCAGCTGAGTTTGCGTCAGAATACAGGGTCAAAAATCCCATTTTTCATCCTGTGCAACACTTTTCATCAGAATGTCTTCATTGTCCTTAGAACTCCTGTAAAACATTGATGTTAAAACAACTGTAGTTACTCCCAAAAGAAAGAAATGCTGGTTCAAAAATAAAATAAATAGTAGAATTAAGTTTTAAATTGATTAAAGAGTTTATACAATTATTGGCCTTTTAATGAATCTCCAAATTGATTCTCTTGCACACACACACACACTGGCTCATCTTAATTACAGTTTTAATCATGGGTTGACAGGACAAAGTGACTGAGGTGTAGCCCTGCTGTTTAATTGCCTATAAAAAACCTCCCTCCATCTTGTTTTCCTCTCAAACCTAACCAACATCCTCCTAACCTCAGCTGATTCCTCTCTAGGCTGCGTAATGCATTTGTAATATGGAACCAAATGAAGCTCTCATTCTTGCTGTGATCACACATAAACATCTACAGACGGCAGAAAAAAAAATTATCAATTTGTGTGTGCATGCATGTGTGTGTGTGTGTGTTTTAGCATTTCTCCGCCAGAGAGTTTTTTTTTTTTTCTTTTTCCAACAAATACTACATTGTGAAGACCCACTTCTCCCTATGGGGCCCAAAGCCTAGACCCATAAGAAGCATTGTTTGTGGGGTAGGGATTAGGTTTAGGACTAAAGTTGAACTGACTTAGGGTTAGGTTTAGGATAAGTGGGTATAGAAATGGATCAAAAATGAAAGGAAGTCCATGCAAAGTCCTTGTGAAGATAGAAAGATATGCTATCTGTGTGTGCGTGCGGGTGTGTGTGTGTGTGTGTGTGTGTGTGCGTGTGTGTATGTGTGTATGCCACATTAGTGAGTTGTGTCTTTTTGGAGGTGTGGAGGCTGGAGCTCAGTTTCTTTGTTGTTCATCTTAGCATGGTGGCAGGTGTTTGAAAGGTAAGATGAGGCTTTAATGAGGCAGCAGTTGGTTGATGACAGATGTGGAATGAGTTAGGAGAATTGTGTGTTAAAAATCACTTTTTCTGACTGTTACTGGTCCT